CAGCTGCTGCCAGAGGCACCCCTGGCCCCAAGCCCTGGCATATGGCACATATGGCACTGCAGGCTCCTGGAACGTGGCCCCAAAGCCTTTGTGCAGCAGAGGGTCTTTAAAACCCAATGGAGAGGCTGCTAAGGCAAAAACAGGTTGCAAATGCTAACTGGAGGCAAAGCAGGGCACTTTACCTTAAAAATGAAAAGGCAAATCCATGTCTCATAACTTCCAGGATGCAGTGTTATCAGCACAGTTCTGATAAGGGCTGTGAATTCTTTCTTGCATTCTTAATTATTAACAGGGAAGGATGATGCGTGCAGGCACTGTGGGGAAGGTGCTTTTGTAGCCAAGAAGAGCAGAGCCCAGAGGTAGGTTTCAGCCTGCAGAGGAGGCTGAGTTCCCCAGGCCCATCACCCTGTGCTCGCTGAGCTGCTCCCATTGCAGGCTTGGGAAGGGTTTGACTTCCTACCAATAATCACTCTCTTGAGGAAAATAAAAATTTTTTTAGTATTGGCAAAGTATCAGCAGCATTTTATAAGCAAAGCCATTTAATGTCTGTAGTTTAGATTGCTCTTAGAGAAATCACTCACACAGAGGGAGGGGAATAGCAGATTCTTGAATGAAATTTTGTCCCAGGTACTGCAAAGCAGCCACCTGGGGGGCATGCTCACGTGCTCTGAGCAGAGCTGGGGCTGGGCATGTGCCCACAGCATTCTTAGTGACACAGCTAATGTTGCACTTGACTGCAGGTTCGACAAGTGTGGCCGTGATTCTCTTGGCTGCCACTGTGCTGCTGTTCTTCAGAGCATTTGCAGGATGGTGTGGTTGGGGACCCACCCGAGAAGACGAAATTGAGGCTGAAAACAACAGTAAAATGACTAGTTGTTTGTTATCAGTGTCACTCACTGGGCTTGTTTTTTCCATAAGGATTTGTCCTGGTGTCCTACCACAGATGAGTAGCTCCTTGTCTTCCTCATTTTTCTCTGAAGTATCCTATATTCTTTATGCAATTGCTGAGCTCACAGTGTGATCTCCATCTTCCTGTGGTCACAGTGTGACCATGTGCATGAGAACACCCCAGGGACAATCCAGAGAGCAATGTGGGATTTGTGAGCTTGACTGACTGAGGTAAATGGGATGGTTATCATGCAGGAATGCTCTGAACACCCACTGCAAAGTGAGGAGAAAACCCAAGGCAGGGGCAACTGGAGTGCCTCCCCTCCCAGCTCTATCAGCATTGGGCTGTCAGCCCTGGGCAAGAATGGCCCCAACAGAGAAAACAAATCTTTGATAATCTGTAGAAATTCTCAGTTGTACCCCACAGTCTGTCACGTAAAAGTTTATTGTGGCCACTGAAGCAGTGAGGCAAAGCCCCAGAGTGTCTCAGGCTCTCTGCAAAGCTCTTTCCCTTTCGTTATGCTTCTCTTTGCTGTCAGCCCTGTTAAAATAACCATTATTTCCCTCCTTTCAGTGCAAAACTCAGTAAGGTTGGTCCCAGAATGGTAATGCCCCGTGGAAGTCTGTGCAGGAAACTTCCCAACTTCACTCCAAGTGTCATTCTTACTCCCAAATCTGCTCCCAAGCTCTCTATGGTTATTTTACATGGGTGTGAAATTCTCTTTGACCTAATTACAATTTCCACTTGGCATTTTGGTGCTGGAAATGTAGGCACAGAGCTGCTGAGCAGAAGTGTGTCAGATGTGCCATGGTCACCTCTTTGCTTTCAGAGCAGGCAAGGGCTGTAGGCACCAGAATTGTTTTACATTTAAGCCAGTGTTTAATTCTCCCAATAGCACTGAGGTTGCAAGAGCTCAGAGCCTTACACCAAGGATTAAGAGAGCTCCTAAATACAGGGTTGTTGTTGCAGGGAAGACAGAATAACAACAGAGCCTCTGAGAACTGTTCTTGAAAAACATTTATTTCCATAATGGGTTTATAGCGCTGACTTCCAAGCCTCAGTACAACAGTTTTCCCCTACACATGATTCTGGGGACCATTACCTTTGATGGAATAAAAGAAAGAAAGCCATACAGAGAAGCCCCCAAACTGACAGTTTGGTACCAAACAAACTGCGCCCAGGTCATCTCTGAGCCCGAGCTGTTGGGTGTCTCAGCCTGGCTGGGACGGAGCTCCATGCTGCATCGGTCACAGTGCAGGAGGCACTGCCTGCGGCCCCACATCGCTCAGGCTGTTGGGTTGAGCTGCAAAGATGGGCTCACGGGCAGAGGAGGCTGCGAGGATTCAGCGGCTGCCATTTATGCAGATGTTCAAAAGGAAATCGACGCGTTTCGGCTTCACCTCCTGAGCCCCAGCGTTTGGAAAGTCAAATACAAACCCAGAGACCAAAGTACACAAAATAGTGAACAAATGTTCAGACATTTCTAAGCCCCCCCGGTTTACTGTGCCATGATACCTTCAGAAAAGAACAAAACCCCCACATTCGGATCTTATTTTTAAGAGGGAGGGGTAGAGATGTAGCACGTAGCATAGCAACTGTCAAGCAGTGTTTAAGGCAAATTTATTCCCATTTATTAAGAGATGAAGGTTTGCTGTTTGTTCGCTTTGTTCTTTAAGCTGCTAGATCAGTTCTGAGCTGGATGCTGAAGCTTAGACAGTTTAATCAAAGTTGGAGTGCACTCAACTCGTGTTGACCTGAGCCTAGATCAGACAAAAATATAATTCCCAAAAGTATCAGTGAGAACCAATTAGAAAAAAAAAAACAAAGAAAAGAATCCATGATCACAACTCCCCCAGAACTTTCTCCCTTCAGAGGTTGAGCCCAACTAAATAATACATACACACATGCATGCAGACAAAGAAGGACAGGATGGCAAGCTGCTACAAACACAGTGCTGAATATGGACCAAAGCAGAGCAAAACTTAAATTCCACAGATGCGAGAACATGGAAAGAGTTATGAGTTAAAAAAAAAAGGGGGGGGAGGAACAGAACCCCAAAGAGGAATGTTTGATGAGATGGAATGGAGAATAGAAGTCTGCTGTTCAAAGAAAGGGAGTTCTGAGGAGTGCACACAGAAAGCTGGGGGCTCAGCTGCCTCATCTCTCAGCTGTGTTAGTTTGCTGTGCTTCCCCTCCCTTGGAGATCCGGGTGTTGGTGCCAGGAGGTTCCTGTGGTTACTCAGTCTGTGCATCATAATTAGCCCCCCCAGCCTTCTTCAGCTCGTTCTTGATGTAGTCCTCATCCAGCTCTTTGTGGTCGCTGATCACAAATTCTTTGGCAAAGTTCTGCAAGAGGTAAAGAAAAAGCCTGTTAAATAGAGGATGCTTGTCCAGTCTTGTGTAAAGATGCCCCATACCTGGAGGTGCTGGAGGACGGGCTGCATGGGGCCTGGGCAGCCAGCCCACAGCAGGGGCTTGGAGCTCAACGATCTGTAAGGTCCCTTCCAACCTAAGCCATTCTACAACTCTGTGACTCAACACTGAGCAATTTTATGGGTCTGCTTCTACAGGCACCGGCTGCAAGAGCTAATCCTGCCCTGTGCAGTAGCTTGTCCTAGCAAGAAGTGCACAGCAAGGTTAGGTCAAGTTCCCTAAGTAGTGTGGAAACTAACGAGCTGACAGCTGCCACAAACCTTCAGCATGGCCTTGGCCATGTCACCAGTCCTGTTGGTGTCCCAGTGCTTTTTGGGAGCCCTTCTCCTAAAAAGAAAGCCAGCTCTACAGCACACTGCAGAGCCATACCCCCAGATGGATGAAGGATGCTTTGATAAAGGCAAAGCAGCATGCAGATGCTACCAAGAGCATATAAGTCTACTTCGGTAGATTTACTGACCTCTCCTTTGAACTATGTAATTCACATCATGGCCAAAACCAAGATACTGTCCTAGAAAGGCTTTGTTAATAGGCTCCAGAGTGCTTTGTGGTCTAATGATCCCAGGTGACCTTTAAGGACACGCTCTGTTAATGCACTGTGTACTGCAGGGCAGCTCGCTGGCTGCTCGAAGGCTCTTTGTAACAGTGTGAGCCAGGCAAGCCCTAGGCAGCATGCTGCTACGTGATGCTGGGAACAGAGAAAACCTTTCTCAGGATGGATCTCTGAGACCAGGACTGCACAGTGCCTATAGCAGAGAGAGTTTCTAATTGGTTTCAGGCTCTCAGCCATGAGAGAGCTCTTTATTTGGTATCGTCTCGAGGGTCTCTGTTTGGGATTGCAGTTGGGTAAAGGAGGGGGTGGAGAAGGATGCAGCTTGAAAGAGCCCCAGCACTTCTTTCATGCGGTGGAAGAATGGAAGGGAGAGCAGAACAGCTCCCTCCCCATTAGACCCCATGCTGCACTGATCCTGTTTCACACTGTAGGAAATCCTCACTGCTGAAGGGTTGATTAGGGAAAAAAAAAAAAGGCTTATAGTAGCTAGGAGGAGCATTGTCTGCCCTGCTTCAACCTATGTTCAGCTTTTCTGGTGTGAGGACGGACAGATGCTACAGGCACTCATCCATGTCTTAGCAGAGTTCAGGGGAAATGGGAAATAAAGTGTTTATTTAGGAAAAAAAATCATGTATGTGATTACATGGCTTCAGTGCTAGCTTGACTTCAGTGACAACTGAGTCAGGCCCATAACCTTTCTGAGAAAGGTTCCATGAAAAACATATTTTATAAAGCAGGGAGGCTTTCCTTTAATGCCTGGTCTGCAGAATTAAGCTGTATCTGAAATTAGGCTGCAATTCCACTCATGTATGGCCAGAGGGAAGCTATGTTCCAGGCACCAGCAATTATAATTACTCAAACACTGGACACTTCTCAAGTGGACACTTACCCAGACGATTCCTGGGTGATGCCCTATGGGGGTCAGTCACTATTTCATGTCAGAGCCACCGGGACACCAGATTGGAATAGTTTCCCCCCAGCAGTTGGCCAGATGGGTTATGTTCCCAGCCACTCTTCAATATCCTCTTAGCTGACGGGGCCACCTCTTGTGCCAGATTTGTGCCCTCACAGAGCAATCTGGGTCACTGCTATAAATAACAGAAGTTTATTCCTTTCTCTTTGCAGGTGCTGTAGGAACTCCTTTGGTTCTTCACACTGGCTCTCCCCCACCACGGCGTCCCATCAAGCCTGGCCCCAAGGGAGAAGGTGCTTGGGGTGAGTTTACTTCCTAGCATTCCTGATTCTGGGATCGTGCTTGACCATTCTCCAGCCACTCATTGCTCTGAACTGTCTGAACTGTCTGAGTTCTCTGGGGCTGAGCTTTGTGAAGATTTGTGCAGGGCACAAATCATAAGATGAAGGGAAGCATGGAAGCGTTCTAAGATTGTTAAAAGCATCTGATGACTCCTGTACCATCAGGGCAAGAAGGCTGTGGCTTCAGATTGGAGACCAACACTTAGGGTCAACAGCAGCACTTTTCAGCCGAGGGCCATGTTACCAGAGTTGACTCTTTTTTTTTTTGATCCTGCTGAAAATGCCAGAATAAAAAACAACTCCTGGCTGATTTAATCAGGTCTGATGTTAGCTGAACCAAGCAATGGTCCCTATTTGTTGTGACTGTCATCTGCAGTTATTTATAACTGATCACAGCAGACTGGCTCAGACAAAGCTCAAGAAAAGATTGGAGCTTTGAGTAGCTAGCAGCAATGCCAGCATTGATTCAGTCAGCTTTCTGCTCTGCCACCAGATTTTCCTTAAGAGCTTCTTTCTCTTAGGGGTGGGGAAAGTCCATGGTGTTTCTTCCCTCACAAATGCCATTATCTAATGTCTCTCAAGTGAATTGCAGAATCCTTGTAGCTGCCTAAGGCATGATGCATAACTCTGATGCTTGAGCCCCCGCTATGCTGACAAGCATCTTCATTTCACCCCCTCTACTTCCTTTTCTTCATCCCCTACCCCCAAGCTTTTTACAACCACAGCAAGCCCTGCAGAATCCCAGCCTTTGTGTTCACACCAGTCACCAGCAGCCTGCAGATAACTGAAACAATGACACCATTTATCACTCACACAACATGCCAGTAACCACAGTGCTATGCTTTGCCTCTTAAATCACTGAACGAGACACAGAAAGTGCAATTTACACATGGCTCTTCAATATACCAACCTGGCACTTGCTTCCCTTTGTGCCTGAGTAGCTGAGGGTTACAGCTAAGCAATGCAGTCTGCTGTGACATGTGCCACTATGGAGAGAAGGGGCTCTGACCATGCAGGCCAGGTCACAAAAGCAGAGCCTGCATCCCTCCCTGGGAGGTGTGAAATTTGTGCAGCAAGGTCGGTCCAGACTTTCTCTTCCAGACAACTTTAAGGAGGAAAACAAAAAGGTGGAGTAGATTTTCTGCCTATTCCAGGCTCTGAATGTTTAGCATCTGGGGTCATAAAATTTCCCTGAGCTGGCCAAGGGAAAATCTGCCTGGTGCAGATACTGTACCAAAAAGATCTGCGGAGGCCATTATAAATCCCAGCATGGGTAGGCCTGCAGCCAGGAGGAAAATCCTTGTATCGTCTATAGACACAGGGGTTCTTAGCAGTGAGTGATGGTGCCAGGTAGTCAAGCAGTTACCTGCTGTTTCTATTTACATTGGGCCTTGCTGTGGCCTCCACTGATGCTCAAAATCCTCAGATCCACCCTGCTTAATGTCACTGCTCCCATCCATTGGATGTCTTGTTTTCCGTGCATAAGGTACTGCTTCAGAGGAGCTGACAGAGTCCATAGTCCAAGTTTCTTTCCCAGCATGATGTGAGTCCTAGACCTGAGGTCATGTAGGAAGATGAGAAATGTGCTATGTCTGCAGCAAAGGTATGTTCTAGCAGGGCTTCCCTCAGAGCAAGGAGAGCCACAAGGTTACACGCACTGCAATACAGCACCACTGCCCTCCACTCTGGCTGCACCCAACCTGGTGCTGCAATCAGATAAGGGAGTCCAAGCCATCAGCAAAACTCCTCTCTTCCATTTCATACCTTGCCAACTTTTACACACATCATTTCCAGCCACTGGGAGAAGCCAGCTCTAACCTCTGGCAAACACATCTCACAGCAGTGGAAACTGCATTTCAGCTGATCTGCAAATTCTTCCTACCCGTTCTGCATCCCACTGGGGAAGTCACAGGGCTGTGTTTCAGATGTGGGGTGATGGGAGGCTGCTTAAGAAGTTACTTCTGTTACTTATAAAGTCACCACCTTCTCTAAACCAGGAGTAGGAGTTCATATACATCCATATCCACTTGGTATGGTCATCACAATAAACCAGAAGAGAACTGTCAAAAAGTGCAATTCTGTTTCCCTTCCCAGCAGCACCACATATGAATTTGATTTTCTGATCGTAAAAAACAGAAAACTATTAAATCATTTTCTGTTTAAGTTACCATACTCACATAAGAAACCCAGTGCACATACATGGATAGACCATTAGATACGGTCTATTTGCCCTTGGTGAAAGACAATAACCCTGTAAGTGGGTCCTTCATCATGACAGCAGCATCAGTGCAGTGAGGAGCCCAGGAGGAAAGAGAAACAGGCAAGGAAGATGAAGATCTGACCATGAGCTCCAGAGCAGGAATTTGGCAAACTTGTTGACATCACTGAAGTCGGGCGAATTCCTCACCAAAAATAATAATGAATCAAATGCCATGAATATTTGCTCACAGAAATGGAACTGTTTCACTTTGAATATGATTTATGCAAATAATAGAGCACATGATTTTGTGGGGGCAGGAGTGCTGGAGAAAACAGAGAGGAGTGAAAAGTTATGGAAGGCAAACTGACAAAGGTTGGTCAGTCCCTTGCTCAAACAGCTCTTCAGGGGAAGTCAGTCCCATTGGGAAAAAGAGCTCACACTGCCTAATGAAGGGTTAAAATCACCTGGTAGGAAGTGCAGTCATGAAGGGAAACAAGTTTGTGGAGAGGAAGCAACATTCAGAGAAACGAAGTCTTGATTTCAGTTCTTCAGCCTTTCCATCCCAACCCTTCCATGGCAGCACTGCCACTCCCAGCCCTGCAACCACAGGGTCTGGGCTTGTCCTTACTCAAAAGAAAGCATGTAATCTCATCCTTCTGCCTCTCCCCAGAGTGAATGAGGCCATTTACTGGGAGGCCTGACTCTCCTGTACTTAAACCCACCGTTGCCAGGTTGGACTTTGCAGGAATTTTTATGGCTGAATTGCACCTCATGCTAGCAGGCATTGATAACCACACTGAGCAGCTCACAACAGCTTTGAATTCTGGGCTCAGGCCAGAATTCTGTGTCTCCTGAGCTTCTGGGATAAAGGAGGTTAGAAAACAGCTGGAGCAGAGGGAGTCTCCTGTGCTAATGCTGAGTGGGCCATGGCTTGTGCCATGCTGGGAAGAAGGGAAAGAAGGGATAAGGCAGAGATGTCTTTGTTGCCAGGAACATAAAAGGTGAGTTTAAGACCAGTTTTGGATGGTCTCCTTTGTAGCCAAGCAGAAAATATTCCCAGAGTCCTTCTGCTCAGCTGGTATCTGCTGGCATCTGTATGCAGCCTTGGCATGACAGCTAGTGGCTCTGTGTACTCAAACAAATGAAGCCCTTTAGCTGGAGTCATCGTGGGATTACTGTTTTGTCAAATAAGTTCCTTAGCTGGACGTTTTGCTCCTGGTCCTGCCCTTACTTCTAACCTTCTTGCAGCTGAACTGCTTGGACCGAGTCACAGGCTGCATCTGAGAAAATAAACGGCCATGAAAAGTGCTACTCAGTGTTCCTTAAATGAGAAATGCATTTTTTTCTGCAATTCAAAAGAAATGCACAGCCTTCTTTCCAACAACATCAAAGAGTCAGTAAGGACATTTCCAAATAAGTAAGATCTGATTCTCAGCTAGTACTGTTCAGAGGAAATACAGTTATTTGTATCTGATGAGATCCATCCCTATAATTTTATAGCTGTTACAGCTAAAAATCAATTGTCCTTGCTTCCTGAGGGATCTCCTGGCAGCCTCCTCCACTGACCAGCAGCACCACTCCCCAGCCACCTCCCACAGCCTTCCCAGCACCTGCTCCCCCATCCAAGGGAGGAATACAAAAGCAAGGGCGAGAGCCCAGTTCCTCTCCTTGCTTTGTAGCATTGCATCCTTTTGCTCAGGAGCCCCTAATCTACTCTTCAACGGTTAATATCCCTCTGGTTTTCCTTATGGCAGGTGCTACTGGGAGACAGTTAATAATCACCATGTGTGAACTCTCCTCATCCTACAGATGCAGCTCTGTGGGTTCTGCTTGCTGGGAGGTACTGAAGCTGGCTCTCTTCCTTTGAGCCTCTTGGTGGAAGAACAATGTTTGCTGGCTTTCGTTCAGCTTTGAGCAGAGAGCAGCCGCAGCTCATCAGTGCATCTACAACATATCAGAGAGTATAAAGCAGGCTCCTCTCACAGTGGTGCTTTGGTCGTGGATAAAAAGCTCCAGTTAGCTTTTGCAAATATTACAAGATGGCAAACGCCCTTGAAGTTTCACTTCTCAAACTGGAGATGTGTTGTTCTGTAAGCCCAGCCAGTCTCTCCCATAGATCACAGAACTGGAAGCTTTTATCTGCTGTACAAAGAAGTCTCACGAGCAGCCAGGGATGGTTCATGTTGCACTGGATTCTTAACTCACACAAGTTACTAATCAAATGTGAAACAAGTGGAATTGCAAATCATCCATAGCAGACCTAAGGGACAGATCTTAGAACAGAATTTGGGAATGCTACTCAGCCCAACAAAAATAAATTGTCTAAACATCTTTTAAAAATCTTCGTCTTAGTGATTCTAATATGAATCATTCATTAGTTACTCTATGATTTCCTCCCCGGTTGCAATAACGCAGTTTCAGCTGCTTCACATAAGCAGAGATTTGCTGTCCTGTCTCACAGGTATCAGTCTGGAAGTTTCTTTTCAAAAGGAGCCCCTCTGCATAGTTGTTCTTTCAGAACATTTTGTTATATTGTTCATGCTTCCTATCTAAACATCCTCTGTTATCACACAAAATACCAATGAACTGAGGGGGCTTTGTTCTCATCCTCCATATGGTCCTACTGGAAGATATCTTTTGCTCAGGAGCCCCTAATCATCATCAAGAGCAAAATAATTAAAGGAAATTATTGCAATATTCAGCTTGTTCTCCTGGTGCAGCAAGAATGACCAGTTTATAAGGAATTGAGCAGCTGGCCTTA